AAGGGCTCTATATTCTCAAAGAAACTGTCACGTGTCCCTTCTGTAACAATGTTGCACGAAAGCACAGTGTCCATGTATTCAAAACACAATCTGGCAGAGGGAAGGATAAAGCATCTTCCTTAGTCCACAAAAATAAGAATGATCACCACTGTGTAGCTCACATTGTCTCCATGAAGATACTAAAAACATAATTGGTTACAAAAACTTGGCTACAAAAAAATGCACTAGGCCTAGGGTCAAGAGAGGACAGATTTCCAAACCTTGATCCAAAGATATGCCTAAAAAAGACAGTGGAAAGCCTCTGCAATGCAGGCGCGTCTGCTCTGATTTTGTAACCAACAGAGAATGACCCAGAACATTGGTTTACATGCCCACATTTGGTTGTCGAACAACAGTTCATGCTAAGGGGCATCAGAAAGGAGCACAGGATCCAATCATGCTCTAGGACTGTACAAGTGAAGAGTATTTTATCATCAGGGAACACCTCGGGTTATACAGTTTGATGAAGATAGTAAGCAAGAATGGGTCAAAGGGACTAAGTCTTCCTGTATCTCTAGTATCATCAACCAGTGGAAGTTTTCAGGAAATTTCCCAGAAAGCAGCTAGAGTTCGAGACTTAGGGATAATTATGGACTTTCAAAGACAGGGTCTCTTACCATGCTTTGGATAGGCACTGAAAGCTACTGCCCATGGGGTCACTGGGAGCTGGTGGCCCATGGCAGCAGCAAGAATTTACAAGGCACCTCAGAGTACCTGTTCAACAGCCACCCGGCTTGGTCAAGCACAAAGAACACACCTCTTCCCCAGAGTCAAACTGCCTGAAGGTAAACCACCTTCTCTCACTAAAGGATGAAGTACAGAAAAATCTGAAGATCTATAAAGGGCCTGCAGTCATCTCAATCTCCCCTCCTACTTGCAGTTTTGTTTCACTGAGTTTGAAGAACAGCATACAAAAGCTAGAGTGATGAGAAAGGACATGATTACGTTAAAACAAAAGGAAAAACAAAGCAAAGGTATACCAATTATTTGTACAGAATAATTTTTTAAAATATTGCCATTGTTTAGGTGTGTAATAAATTCATCCTTGAAATTTTTTGGTTAAAGGAATCATTTTAAATGCACCTGAGAGGCTGGTGCTTTTAATACATGTTACTAGGAATACATTTGTAAAGTGCAGAATCCTTTCATAAAATAATTTATACCAAAATCACCTGTAATCATGGCAGATACAATTCCTTATTAAATCCACATAAACAGGGATACACAGATGCACAGAATGAAGTAAAAAGGAGTTGAGACTGAGAGGCTGGCAAAGAGAATGTGGAAGAGAAGGTACAGAAGCCCAGCATCCCCACAGATGACCTGGTTATTTACCTGTGTGAGGCCCAGGAGAGATACTGGCATTGTGTCCCCTCCCCCACCCCCAGCCCAAAACAGAAACTGCTTTTCTTCCCATGTAGCCAGCGCTGCCAGTTCTAAGCCTGCCCCCTCTCTCATCTCTCTCCCGCAGAGTGCCTGCAGGCCAGAAGCTGCCCCTTACAGCCAAAGGTGTAGAAGGTGGCCCAGAGCTGACGTGGATCTCAGCAGAGGTGTGCAGGTGTGCCAGGAACCCTGGCAGCCCCAGGGCAGGGAGAGATGAAAAAATAGCCCTGGTCTCCCCTTTAGGAACACATCTAGCTGGCAAGGTGGCCCACCATACAGACTCCTGGGAAGGGATCCCCAACAGGCTGGTGGAGGGCACGACATAAACCCAGTGGCCCTGAGAAGGCATACCTGCACGCAGCATGACCGACGTTTCCCAGGGAACGGGGAGAGAAAGTAGACAAGGGAAGATGAGGCCAAACTGTCAAGCACTGCAGGTCTTGCTGCCCTACACTCACTGCTTGCCATGTGGATAAGGAAAAGTCTTAGCTAATAAATGACCCCTTGAGTATACAGGTGACTCTGTAGTTTAGATTTTTTTCCCCCCAAGCTTTGTCTTTTCGTGATGAGGTTTGAAACGTGGGTGTTTAGGGGCAGGTAGAGCTCACAAAGACAGCCTTGAAGATGACTTGCTTAGGAAGCCAGGTTACCAGGACTGAGTTGCCTTAGGGACTTCCCTGAGCAAAACACCTGAGTCTAGTGCTTCAGTTTAGTGCTGAAGGTGGTGAAATGAATGTTTGCTTAAATACTATAATTTCGGCATTACAACCAGCCAGCCTCTATGATATGACATCATTGGTCAGTCTTTAAATCTAGTGACACTGAGCACATAGGTCATTAAAAATGCTTGACCACAGGATGACACAGTATCCGCAATGTGCAGTGCTGGGTTATCCAATGGCTGGTCTATGTATGTATTTAAGGTCTCAGTAAAGCTGGGACTCATATAAAAAATTCTTCTTAAAGGTTTCTTGAAAACAGTATTACAGTAGACATCAAGGAAAAAAAATTAGATCTTTTTTGGAACTTATTTCTTATGTACTTTTTTGTCTCATTGTTCTTATTTTTATTGCCATCATTTTTTCATTGCTTAGAATTTTTAAAAGGTTTCATTTTGGCCCTGGGTTGGTAAAAGGAAATTGCAGTGCAAAATTTTAGGCCTTTGTTTGGTTTCACCAGCAGAAGCCATACCAACATGGAGACAGGCCCTCAACAGTAACCTTCCAGATGCTTTTGGGGGCTTTGGAGAGAGTTACAAAAAGAAGAAGGAAAGAAACAACTACTAGAGGTCATAGAGTAATTTGTTGCTGAACAGCATGGTCACCAGATGTGGGGAAATACTTTCCAATAGTGCAATTAAAGACCAAACATTCTCACTGTCTGCTTGAATTTACGTTAGAGGATAATTTTTCCCCTCTCCTTTCTGGAATGGGTAAAATCTTTGATCCTTACCAAAGTGAGGGAGAAAACAAATTGTATTTATTTATTTGCTAAAAACTATGAGAGATTCAACCACAACTGAAATAGAATGATCTAAAGTCCTTCAGTGTCAACTATTCCATTTATATAATGTTAATACTCATAAGGTAACCAGTTGTCCCCAAATATTTTCAACATGATCAGTAAAAAGTATAAAATTTTGAAAGGTTGAACACCAAACAGAAGTGACATGTGACTGGATGGAAGGCTTGGAAATCAAAACTTTGGGCTTGTGAAAAGAAACAATATAGCTGACCCCTGAACAACAGGAGGACTAGGGGCAAAGACCCCTGTGCAGTTGAAAATTCACATATAACTTTATAGTTGGCCCTCTGTATCGAGAGTTCTGCACCCAAGGATTCAACCAACCATGGATCGTGTAGTACTGTAGTATTTACTACTGGAAAATAATCCACGTAAGTGGACTGGTGCAGTTCAAACCCATGCTGTTCAAGGGTCAACTGTATTTTCCCATGCACACAGCACTTATTAATCTCAAAAGTATCGTTTGAAGGATACCACTCCAAGCCCTCAATTATTTACACAATGATTTTGATGATTTTCTACATTCCTAATGGAACTGTCTTCTTGAATTTTCAGTGTTATGTCTTTCCAAAGATTATTCCCAGGTTTTATATCCTATGACTGCAATAATGATGGATTTTTTGCCCATGGCTTGTCTTATGACTTCATAATTATACTAACTTCATATCATAACATATAGCAAATACATATTTTAATATACAGATAGGAAAAATTACTTGCATACTTGTAAAACACAGAGGAAGAAAAGTTTGAGATATAAGATTTGGAAAGGTAAGCTTGGGCTTTATTGGGAGTTGAAGTGTAAATAGTTTTAAGTTCCCCTAAGATGTCTAGATCGATGTAATAGTCTTTGTTCAGAGCAATGACTTCTAATCTTAGATTTGTGACACCCCCGGGGTGTCTCCATACATCTCTGGAGGTGCTGTAAAATTCCCTCCACAAAATGTGAAGTAAAATAATTTAAATTCACTTAATAACTATGCCACATATGTTTGGAGGCAAGGGAGGTGTCCTGGAATCAAAAGAACAGTCGTTAAGTATTATAAAAGCTTGTTCCCTGTCAATTACATTTTAGTCTAAACCAACTGATGAAAAGATAAACAATGGAAATCAAGCAAGATGAGAAAACCTGTGTGTGTGATTTTGTGGCTGGAGGAGACGGTGAAGGAGCTGCTTACTTGGGACACTATTTTCATGGACAACCCTTTTTGACTGCTTTATTTATTAACACCTGAATCAGCTCGGACTGGCAACTGGAAAGCCAGTCATAGCTCCTCTCCACCTACTTGCACTAAGACACTGGTGCCTTAAAATTGGCGTAGAGGATCTCTATTCAGTATTAGTTTCTTTAAAACAAACAAACAAACAAACAACAACCACATACACTGGCAGCTAGACAGGGTAAGTTTAACTTAACTATGTCAGTTTTCCCCTCAGGCTGACTTACATTTTTATCCTGAGATTACATGGGGTTATAAATCACTGCTCTGCAATATCCAATTCTTAACTTCCTTGGTCACCACTAGGTTAGGAACTAAAACACCACTGTGGGCTTGCCACTGAGAAGCTGGCTTATAGCCATTACATTTTACTATAGCTTCCAAGTTCCCAATAAAATTTCCTGATGGGTTACTGCCTCTGGCTTCACAGCGTTCTTTATTCAGAACACCCATTTCAGTCATCTGATAAATCTGAACATGGATTTCTTCAAGAGCCACGCACATCTGCACTTAAAAATGACACCACTGAAAAAATAAAGAACTTTTTTTTCATTAAGCAAGCCTGCCTTTTCCCTAGAGAACCCAACTTCAATGTTTACTTTTTATTTTTCATATCACTGCCTATTTAAATTTAGACCCACATTTTACATAAGCCCTAGAATTCCACTGAGAAATTTTTTACCAAGTAATTTTCATTTAATCCTTCATCCACCCTGCGTGCCAAGATGACCAAGAGAAGCTCCTTTTAAACTCGGTCTTTTGTATCACACTTCAATAGTTGCCTGAAGAATCAAACTCTGAAAGTTATTGGAAAGAAGAAAAAAGTACACTTGCCTTATCTGTAGCAGTAGCACTGGATCCAGGGACCACAGGCACATTCGTCACTTGAACTGAAAGATAATTATTATCTATGAGTGGCCAGGCCCCTTCCACTTTGCATGTCTGGAAGTGATCCTTGAAAGTTCTAAGGTGAGGATCTCCGAACAAGCCACAAAAAAGGTAATTAGGAGGGTTCTGGTCCCCTCCCCTGTGTTCTCTGGCTCCCGCGTGGCTATGATAGTTACAAGGGTCATGGGTCACTTCAGGGTTTGTGGAGGATGTGGGTCCGTCCTTAGAACAGTTCCTCTGGCTCATGAGGTCACTGATACCCAACACAGCAGAATGGTATACTAGGTTACCACGGCAGGCTTTTGAAGTTCGCTGGGTGCAGCCGGCATAGGCACGCAGAGCCTTGCAAAACTCAGAGTCAAAGCCATCAATGGCAGAGTTCAGGTGTGAAGTCAGGGACACAAAGTCTGTGGTACATTTCTGGATTCGACATTGGGCTGGCTGTTGGCAGTCACCTATGAGAAAGAAGATAAGAACAAACATTTGTTAAATGCTTCACAACTTCTTGAGCTACATGAGAAAATGACATTCTCCTCTGGGAACTGCTTGTTCTATTTCATATACTCCTATTTTAAGAAGGCCTTCAGAAATAGGGCTGTATTGTGCTTCTTGGCCTCTCACAAAGTAAGCCACTGGGAGAAACACTGCATGCAGCTAGTTAACTTGAAACTAAAGCATGGGCCATTGTGAGTAAACCGGAGTCTAGCCCAGGGTTCTTAGGGTAAAATTACAAGGGAATGATAAATGAAATATTTTATCAACTTTGCTATTGTTTATAGATTTTGAGAAAGATGTCTTTGCTTTAAGACCAAGTCAAAGATATGAACTTTGTTTTGATTTTGAAAACTGCATAAGTAACGTGCTTTGGAAATTACTGTCTATGCACAAAACCACGAGTAAAGCCTGCACACCTCAGGGAGGGGAAACTCCTAAATTACAGCATGATTAGTTAAAACACCTTTACCCGATTCTACTATGGCTATAGGCAAAGGATATCAGGAAAAAATCCAGGTACTAAGTTATTCTGCATTTCTTGAGGAATGTTTATCAACAAATTGCATATAAATTAACACTTAATCTCCTGGTTTCTATCAATACAAAGTGTAAATGTTCCCTTAAAAAAATGAAGTGATTGATTTGACCAAGCTAGGTATTCACTTATCCCATAACATCAACCACACTAGGATTCCAGCTCCTAAACAGTTCACCAGTAAAAGTACACTAAATCAAAAAGTACATAACACTGACAGGTGATCCCACCAACTATGTTTTTTTCCAGAAACAGAACCAGAGACAGAATTATTAGAGTATATATAAACTACCTTTCCCCTAAATCAACAATTCACATAAACTTAATGATTAATTCACATTAACTTAATGATTTAAGTCAAGCTAAAATGAATGAAAAATCATGTGATTACTGCCCTACTATTTAAAAAGTCAGTTTTCAAATTATGGTTTGCCCCTAGCTTCTCATATAAAAATTTGTAAAATCTCTCAAAGCACAAAAAACACAATGAACTGCCAAGATTAGGTCAGTGGTATGCACCAATCAGTTTAACACTATATTCCTTAAAATGGGAACACCAGGATTACTGAAATGAGAAACAATTTTCTTTATCCTCCACCTCAAATTTTATACAAATGAACTGTAACGCGTATTTGTATTACTTGCACATCCTTTATAGGTCTCTCAACCATGGAGGAGCCTCAATGTCAAGTCTTAGGTTCCTCATATGAGAAATGAGTAGGTTGTTCTACAGTAAACTCTGTGATCTTTTCTAGGCATAAAATATCTATTGTGGGGGGGTGGAAATCAGTCAGTAGAGTATTATTAAATGTATAATTATTCAAGATTTAGGCATAACAAAACTTCAGGATAATATCAAGATTTAGTAATTTACCTGATAAAGACTTAAAACTAACCCTAATAATCATCTTAGAAAGATATTTTAATCTTTTCAGTAGTAAACTGCTTTTAAATCTGAATAAAATAGCCTGTAATCTCTGCTCATGGCATCAGCTGGGGAAACAAAGGGTAGGAAATGACAACCTCTTAAGGCACTTCCCCAACCATTCTTAAATTCCAAAACCAAAAAGGGAAAAATATAGTCAAGACTGGATATTTGATTTAACACAAGTAAAAGAGATTAAAATATTTTAATATTTTGGAGCTATGAATTTACAGCTATCACTAAATCGCACTTAAAAAAATCAAATACATCTTGATGTGTTTGGTCCCTTTTATGTTTGCTCATTCCAAAGTTGATATTTATAGAATTCCTCTCTATAAAGTAGATCAAATCATTTTTCAACTATTTTTACTCAAAAAAGCAAAAATGCGAACAAAAAAATACAACAACCCCCAAAATGGTATTAAACCCATTTTACAGATGGGAAAATCAAGACAAAGGGACACTAAAGGCCTTGTCCTGGCTGGATTGTAAACAGCTAGTTTGAAGCCCAGAGCATGGTGCCTTTCCTCAAATCCTGTTTTCATTCCTCCACATGTCACATCTCTACTAAATGCCTGATTCTCAAGACAGTACTTGATAGCTTAAAAAAAGACGTAACTACAGTATTTCTTTTAAAATCAGCTTCACAGTAAGCAGTAAGCAAGAAAATAAAATGTGGGCCAAGATCACTCAGTAATGAACAGTTCTTGGACAACATATAAATGACAGCACAAGAACTTTCTGCTAAACTTGCAGTGCCTATTCTTTGTTATGGCCTATAAAATCTAGCCAAGCATACACTTACTAATAATTATTTCAAATAGTCATAAAATATCAGAAGTAAGACCAGCATGGAAATGCAGATGCAACTGTTCAGAAAGAAAGAGAAAAGCAGAATTTAGATTCCCAGCTCCTTTTTTGTTCCTTTCCTTCCTCCCCCCTCGCTTTTTCATAGCAGGTGGGTGCCGATTCCTTTGAGAAATCTCACATAAAACAGAACTCCTTGGGTTCCTTTGTTTTGGATGAGGTTTCTAACAGACTTTTTGAATAGAGATGATGGGAGGGAGGAGGGCTAAATAGAGAGAAAGTGCATTTGGGTCAGCAGTTTCAGCCCCATCACAGACTCCTGTATAATGACTAATTTGCAGCATACACCCAGAAACATCCAGGCTTCATGAATTTATAATGACAATGCGCACTTTGCCTGTTATAGGCGGTAAAGTAAGCCTCCTGTCAAAATACCAAGACAATGCAGAGCAGAAACAATTTCAAGGATGCAGCCAAGAAGGCCATGAAGTGTATGAGTAAGCAAGGAACTCCCATATTGGATCTCCATTCAGAAAGCGCAGAGGTTTGCTTAAGGGGAAAAAAAAAAAAAAAAGTGAATAAAAGTATTCTTTTCATTTCCCAAGGGCAGAATTCAAAATCTGCAGCTACAGATCTATTTTTCAAATCAGGTCATCTATGATGTGACAGTATTTTCATTCCGGTAAATGAAACTTACTAAGGGATTTGTGGGTCTATAGCTTTCATTAATGATCCAGACATAAAGACCTCACCATTCAAGACAGTTTCCTCAATGTCCGGACTGCACATGTGAATCTGCAGCCCAATCACCAGTTTATAATAAAAGAAATCAGATATGCTGAAGTGAATTAAGTGAAATGCAGAGCCATATGGGGTGCAGAGGCAAATTATATGGATCCAGGCATCAAACATATGGTAGCCCATCTGTAAAGAGCACTCGGCTAGGCTCCCTGCTCTGAGGAGAAACAACCCCTGCATTTCAATAGCACTGCTCTTCAAAGAAATCTCTCAAAAAGGAGCCCTCTTTTCTATAACCAGATTAACTGCTCCATCCCAACAAGCTGTCCACAGATATCACTCACCACAGCAACTCTGGGTAGAATCTAATGGTGACTTCAGCATGAGCACATTAGGATACTGAGAGGAGTTTCACATTCCAAGTTCTTGAACTAAGGCACCTTAATTTTCTAAACTTTTAAACCAACTTCTTAGGCCTTTCATGGGCCAGCGAAGAAATCTTCAAGGACCACATTCCAATCCTGTTATAGGACCCAATGGCAACTAAAGGAAACGATATCCAAGTAGTCAAGAGGGACACAGTCCTGCCTACTTCAATTTCCATTTCAAGAAACCTACAGTTTGACATTATGGACACTTATTTTTTTCACACAAAACCCTCCTGAGCAGATTTTTTGACACGTCATAAAAATTTTTCCATGTAACCATAAGCAAACTGACTTTATTTTCTAAGGTTCTAAAGTCACTAATTTAAAACCTTAATCATTGTAAACCTTGCCATTTACACTCTCTATTAAGACCTCGGTCTGTTTCCACAAGTGACAGTGTTAAAATGCAGCTGTTACATCACAATGCAAAGTTATGCAAAGTAAATTACGTTGCCTCCTCAAATGCCACATTTTTTCCCCATTACTTAAAAGACCTCCTGGATTTTTAACACTGCTGCTATGACTTAGTAAATAAATAAGAATTACTCCGTACAGTTGGGTGGCATTAAAGTTCAGTATTCTCCAGATCAGAGCGTTGTGACTGCTGTCCTACAAATACAGGACAAAAAGATCGCGAAGGAAAACTTACTTAATGCTCTAAGTGTGCTCAAACTACAAGATAAATTATCTTTCAATTTGGTATAAAAAAAATATTCTTTGTCTAGACCTGCTCCTAGAAGTGGTACTTATTAGTAAAGAGGATCCTAGATTTTTCCCCCAGCTTTATTGAAATGCAACTCACATATAACATCGTGTTAATGAAACGATTTTAAAAAGAAAAGTAGGTTAAAACAGCTAAAAGGCTCATCTTCGCTAAGAAGAACGAAGAAGGCTTACATCGTTAAGAACAGATTCCTCACCGCTGCTTCCAAAGGGGAAGCGCCAAACCTCCAGAAGTCAAGACATCTGTCAGCCTCTCCTGGAACCCGAAAACACGCGGCTAGCCACAAAGCACGAGTTTTTCCAAAGAGGTTGAAAGCTGAATTAAAAGCAGCTTTCGCAAATATGAAAGAAATCCCAGTTTTAAGAAGTTTAAGTTACTTCGAGATTAACCCCCAGGTTTTCCAGCTCTGGTGAAAATCTTTCCATCTGGTGCGATTTCTTCGCCTCGCCGCCACCCCCAACTCCAGAGAAGCAGCACAAGGCTCCTAGTCACCCCACCGAGGCGGCGGCGGCTGCGGAAACCTGATCCCAGCCTGACTTTCAGTAAACACCAATGCAGAGAGCAATAAAGCATCCGGAACATTTGTCTCGGGTGCGCAGCCCCTGCCCGCTTTGATAAGTGGCTGCTGGAGGGGAGATTTATCAACGGTCCGAGCAGAAGGCTGGGAAGGCGGGAGGGAGGGGAAGAGGCCTCTCCTCTGCGCCCCGGGCGCTCCGCTCGGTCAGCGGGTGTGCTCCTGCCGCCGCCCCGCGAGCCCAGCTAAGGTGCATGGCAGGGGCTAGTGAGGCCTTTCCCGTCGCGCCACGCCGCCTTCCGCCCCGGCAAGCGCCTACGGGACCGGGGGTGTCGGGGAACAAAGCACTCGGCCCTAGAGCTGGCTCCCCTCGCGCGCGCGCCTCATACCTGCGTGAAGCAGCCCGAGGCTGAGCAGCAACAGAAGCAGCAACGCCAGGGGCGGCGGGCAGAGCCGGGGGCGGGGGCGCTGCTCAGCCCCGGCGGCAGCGGCGAGGGCGGCGGCGGCGGCGGCGCAGGAAGATGCTGCTCTCAAGCCCATGCCCGTCCATGCAGGTCTCGTGGGCTCCGGCGAGGGCGGCGGCGCGGGCGCCTTGGCGGGTCCCGGGCCGTGGCTGCGGCATGGGCCGGAGGACACGCCTCGCTTCCTCTTCTTCCTCCTTCAGGCCCGCGTCGAACACGGGCCGCCGCCACCGCCGCAGCGAGCAGTGCGCCGCGGGCGGAGCGAGTTGGCGGCGGCGGCAATAGGGCGCAGTGGCATCGTGGCGGCCGGAGACGGCGGCGGGCGGAGGGAGAAGGGGCGGGAGAGAAGACACAAAGACCGTGAGCGAGTGAGGGGCTCGACCTGCAGCGCGCGAGCGCCCTGGCCGCGGCCAGCGTGGGCTCACCAGGCGTGGAGCTCGGGTGTGGACGAAAACGAGGAGCACGCAGCCCCAACCACCGGCCACCGCCGGCCAGGATATCTTTCCGCGTCAGCCCAGCTCTCAATCAATCTCAGCCCCTCACTGCCGCCCCGCCCGTCCTACACCCGCCAATCCGAGTCGTCCCCACCCCGGCCTCGCCCCTCCCTCTAGCTCCATTGGTTGAGAGGCGGACGCTCTGGGCCCAGCCCGCCACTCGTAGGGCCCAAAGCGCCCGCCCCTCCGTGCCTCCTCCTTCTTTCTGCCTGCCTAGTGTAGTTTGAGTTCCGCGTCCGCCCGCTGCAAGTCCTGTTCTTCGCGCCCGGGCCCAGCCTCCCTCCGGCTCCCTCCTCTGCTCTCCCTCCACCCGCTTCTGCGATTTACTGTTTCCTCGCGCCCAACTGAAACAGGCGACAGCAACTTTGTCCTGGCGTCGTTACAAAGGCACCGGCCTTTGACCTCTCCTTGAATTAATGTGATCAGGTTCAACCTCCCTCCATGACTTTTATTAAAAATTTCTTTTTCATCACCCTCACTCTGTCCCTCCAGCTCCAGCTACGGCTACGGCTCCTTGGAGGGAGCGGACGCTTTTACCCTGAGCCTTGCGGCAGGTCCCTTCGCAGCCAATCACATCTGCGGAACCGCGTTCCTCGCCTGTTGCGGACTTTTGGTAAAGCTAGCACCCAGTCGCGTTGGAAATCCGAATGTGACCCACGGTCCGGAACAAATCGGATAGGCTGGGAAGGTACCCGCCAGCTCCCGGCGGAGTTCGCTGGCAGCTGTGCGAGGCTCCGGTTCTTGTTCCTTTGACATTTCCCTTCCTGAAAGCTGCGGGGAGGGGTCTGAGAGCGGGCGAACTTCAACGTGTTCGGCTACAGTGTAATTAGATTAATGAGGCTAGTAAGTTTTTAATGCAGTGTAGAATAATTATGCCATGATCTCTTGTTGCTCAGTGGCTTTTCCACAAATTTTCATCGTCTATTAGCAAATTAACCCAATGGCAGGTCGGTTTCTACTTTTGCGATTGAATGGATCCCAAAATGAGGGAAAACCAATTGTCTGCCAGAAAAGAGGTTGCCAGTGGAGATATAGGAAAGCATGTTGTGAGATTGATGATAGGTTCTAATTTGTTATGAGTAGGTGTGAAGTGGTATCTAATCTCAAGAATGGCCTCAAAGGCCGGGAGCCACTTCGTACTGCCCTTGTCTTTGCCCTTCTCCAAACGGCAAAGGGCTGCCATTTTAAATTCACTGATATCCAAGTCACAGTCTGCAACCCTACCTGCTACATTACTTAGAATCTCTAATTAGGAATTTCGTATCAACCACGGACACGTTAATATTCCAACATGTTAAAAAGTGCTAATCAATGGACCAGGATAATTGAAGACAAACCTTCCAACGCTCCAGCTTACTCATTAGACGCATTCTGAATTATACAAACCACTAGGTCCCTAATGAAGGATGCCTATCTATTTTTACTGCAACTTTTCATTACTTACTTATTACGTACTATGATGACTCAAGTGGTAAACACACCTTTCACTGCCCAAGATATAATCCAAACCTTGTGTGTATCTATAATATGCTTAATAGTAGCTTCAGAGTTGCCTGGAGAAATGACATTTTGGGGGGAGTTATCTGATATGATTTTTAGATGATACTGTGTTGTAAATACTGTTAAATCAAAAATTTACTCTCTTACAATTACTACATATTACAAATGAAATCAAGTTAATGAAATACTGGTAAGTGTCTTTTAAATAGTAACCAAATGTGAACGCTACCTTTCAAAGTATTTTGCTAGCAAAGACTAACAGTAAGATGTTTCTTCTTCCTTAACCCAAGATTTAATTCGACCCCTATGAAAGAAGCATCCTACTTTATTGACCATACTTTAAAACATATAACCAAGAGTTAAGGATAAAATTCAGTTTAGTTTGAGTCTTTTCACTCCTGATTTTCTATGATTTCCCCGCCTTTCCTCTTCTCCCTCCTACATCCTGCTCCTTAAGTACACGGATGCTCTAGATTTTATCAACAGAGGGCACCCTCGAGTCACTGCAAATCCTGGTGTCCTGAAATGGAGCTGTTGTCCTTTAGAGGAAAAACTTCATTTTTTCTAAGGCACTTTACTGCTCCTCTGTTGTAAAATTTGACAAGCTTAATATTTATATGCCTAACAATTCACTTTTTATTGCTGCATAAGTGTTCAGCCTGCTAGAGGAAAATGTTAATTTTCACAATTAAACCACAAGGTGGTTCCTATTTTCAAGACATTAGTTGACACATTGGCGGGGTAAATTCGGACTGTTAGCAAGATCCCGAATCAGCTTGGGAAGCAAGAGCGTAGTGAATGGTCACTTACAGCGCATCCACTCCCGCAGCTAGTATGCTGCAAGTTAAGGAGGATTTTAAGACTCTACAAAGAAAACTCTGGGGAGGGAGCTAGAACACAAACATAAAATCGATGACTTATAAAAGTTTTTACATTTTAATCAGAAAAAAAATCGTGAAGTGACAGCTTGCACAACTCACAAATCCACCCTGTTTCTTGACACTTGTACTCTTTCCTCCTGCGTCTTTGTTTTCAGGGAAAAAAAGATGAGACTGGAACAGTATAATTAGGGGACACAGCAAAGCATCCGTGCAAAATGGGTAGAACTAAAACATGCCAGCAACATTAATGGATTCTAAACAAGATGTGGTTCCTTATCCTGAACCTTTACATGATGTCTTAACTGTTCCCCTGTTAATATACAGAATCTCCATTTCCAGAAATCTAACACGAGGTCTCTAACAGATCACCGGGGGCAGAGGAGCCAGGAATCAGACCCGGGGTTGCGATTTGCGCAACCCATTTTAGAGTAAAGGCTCCCCTGCTGTTCCCCAGTCCACCCTACGCAAGGCAGGGGTGAAGGAGCCCGAAGTCCGACAGCCCAGCGGCAAGCAGCTTGTGTATTGTACTTACATCATTCTTAACCCTTCCGTTCCTGGAGGGGGCTTGGCGGGATCAGAGGATCCCTGAGCTCCGGAACACGCAGGACCTGGATGTGAGAGGAGAGTTCCAGAGCCAGGGGTAAGCGCTGCGCCCCCGGAAGGAGAGGGCCTGGGGCGTGCGTGGGGCTCATCACCCGAGCGTATACAACCGGCCCCCGCGATCCCTTCGGGCTCAGCCGCGGCTCGCACCGCTCAAAGCGGCAGGTGCAAAAAGCATTTGGGAGTCGCTTGCCAGCGCGCGGAGGTAATGCGCTTCCTGTCCATTTATCTCAGGAAACCAGCGCAGCCTTCCCTTCCAAACAAAATTAACCTCTCATTACCCAGCCACTCATTCCCGAGAAGGCCTTAAAAGCTTTACCAGCTCGCTAATGTATTTAAGCTTTTCTTCCAGGCAAACAGCCGCTACCGCGACTGCCATCAGCCCCGGGGGTTCCTCTGAGCTCCGCCGGGAGCCAACCGCTTACTTCCCCCCAGCCTCCAGGCTGGGAAACTCTGGCCAACCCAAATCCCAGTTTGTACTAATGGGCTGACCCGACACCCCTGAACCGACTTCATGCCGGAAGCAGCCCAAACAAGTTCTCACTAATTTCACAAGAGCCCTTCGTATCAAGTCCTCAGCTCCCCTATCCTCAAGGAACGGGGGAGGGTACCCGGGAGGAACTTCAATAGCAAGCTGTCCCCGGGGAGTGGGCGCTGACTCCCCTTTGGAACGCCAGCCCTGTTCGCAGCGGGGGCGGGAAGCACTGATCAGGGGCGTGGGGGTAGTGTTAGCTAGGATCCAGCCGATTCCAAAGAAGCAAAGGGGGTTCTAGGTGTACAAGGGGCAAGAAGTGGCCTTTTGGAGGGCTGGGGTTTTCTCACCCTGGTTCCCGCCGCCCCGAGGCTGGCAGATTTATACCACACAGGTGGACGGAGACCTAAACAAAATAGTCCCGGCCGCTGCCTGCCGCTCGCCCCCCACGTCCCTCTGGCCCACCGCAAACTTCAACAAAATAAACAACTCACCACAGGCATTCCCTTGTCTGCAGCGCGACGCTTGCCAGCTGGGAAAATAAGCCGCAAGCCACGCGGCCGGGGCGCTGAGGGGGGAAGCGCGGCGCCCGCTTCTCTTTCCCAGGTCGGGGCGTCGGTAACCCGAGGCAGGAGGGAGGTTCCGCCTCGGGGGCTGCTGTCCCTGTTCCCCGACTGCTGCGTGAGCGCCCGGCAAGCGGCTGCGCCCTTCCGGCTGCCGCGACGTCTCCGCTACCTCGGGGAGGGGGCGTGAGGCAACCCCCTCGATTCCGTCTTGCTTTCTCCAAGCTGCTCTCTCTTCCCTCCGGAATCAAAGACCAAACCCAGGGGCCTCCACCCCACCCCTCCACATCTCCCCCTGCCGGCACATCCCGGATCTTTCCAGCGCGGCTGCGGAGTGGCAGGTAGCGGTGTCCCAGAACCCCAGCCCCCGGCTCCCGCTCTGCTGGCGCCTCTCGCACGTACACCTCCACCCCTAAGGCCTGCACAAAGAGCCTTTCACGCTGCCAGCGCCACCCTCCGCGCCGCCCTCCAGACCGGCTGCATTGCTTTTGCCCACCCGCGGCACCAGCGCATTGCCGCTTGGTGAGTGTGCCAGCCTTCGCCGGGGCAGGGCGGCAGTGAACGTGTGCAGGTTGTTCCTGCTCTGCGCTTTGGCACAGGCACAGGTGCGGTCCCTTGTCCCCCCTTCTACCGCTTTCTCTAGCTGTCCACCAGCGGCCACAAAATGCATTCCTTCCTTTGCATAAATGATCTTTGAGTGTCTTCCTAGTATGTCGAAACTGGGGGAGGGGGGCAGTAGTGGTCCTCTGGATTTTCGCCGAAGTAAGGAATCCAAAGACCTTTCCTGTCCATCTAAATGTGGCTTGAGTTTGCAGCTTACGAAAACCCAGGATAACGATTTGGGAATTACGAGGGGAGAGAGGGTTGAGAGAGACATCTAAGACACAGGTGAGGAAGTGTGTTATTAAGAACAAGCCCACGCAATGTTCAAGGAAAGAATCACTTGGGTAAGAGTAGAAGGTATGCAGGGCGAGAGGGAAGGGACTAGCTGATCTTCCAAAGTTGAAAATGAGCATCACAGGTATTCAGCAGTAGCTACTGTTCTGTGCAAGGCCTGGGGCGAGCGGGCTGCTTCTCTTTGTCCAGGCAAATAAATATTCAAGCGTCTTGACCTAGGTATTTCACTTTTTGCCTCCTTAGGAGTTTCTCCGACCCTCTCTAGCTTTTCTTCACCTTCTGCTGCCCCCACTCTTTATAGTTTCTCGGTCTAACGCTAGAGGCAGCATAGGGCAGGGTAAACAGGGAGGAGTGGGAATCTAGTGAGGAGGGTCCAGGAAGAACTTTGTGAATAGGAGTCTTAGGCAACTGATGTCTTTGGACCTTGGGTCACTATCAAAATGGGTGTGTTAGGGGCAATGGCCGGGTTCCTTCTGGTTCTGAAATCCTATGACGAGAGACGTCTCCTCGCACCCTCTCTGTAGGTTCCCTTTTCCCCTTTGAAGCGTTTACCCACCTTGCTTTATCTTCTCCAAATGCCAATCAAATTGAAAAAAAAAAACAAAACTGGGGATGTGTCACGGTAAACGTAAGATACACTGAAAAATGCTCTTTTTGCTATTGAGAATTAAAAAAATAATAACCCTCAGCTCCTGGTCCACAGAAACAAGGAATTTTAATGTCCTCACTTGCTTGCCTTTGAAAAGCCACGCCTGCAATCAGCAGAGCAGCAGAGCAGATCTTTGATTTAGAACGTAAAGGCAAGTCTCCTGTGTTTTTCTTTTTCCTTCCACCAACACAAAGACAAGCTGCCACATAAAATAATGATGAACAAGAGTTCAAAGCAAGACCAGAGAGCCAGCCCAGAGGATGTTTTCTAATGCAGCCCCAGTCCTTCAACACTCCCCTGCTAAAGCTGGCTTTGGACAGCACATAAATAGTAGGCAGAAACTGCCAGAATCCCCTTCCCCACCCCCTTCCCATAAATATTGGTCAGTGGAATTTGTATTGTCAATCATCATGTAAATACATTCATCAAATGTTGTCAGTCTTCATGTAAATGCATTCATCAAATCAATACACTAAATTTTTCCTTAGCCTTATACTTTCCAGAATTTTCAATTCACTATTCACTTTGGAATCTTTAGCCTTAGTTCTCCCTCTGGACAACCTTGACTGTTTTGTGTGGAATCTTTTCTGAAACCAAGACAAAAAAAGGTGAAATTTCATAATGAAGTGCTAATTTTCAAACTACAAATCCCTTGTTTCTTCAGTTTTATCAAAAGAATTTTAGAATTGCTTAGCTTTCATAGCAATGCACACTTAAAAAGTTATATATTAAAGAGAATTCTTAAGTACACTTTCATTGGGGAATATAAGTTATTGTTTAAACAATAGTGGTGGAGAAACATTTTTAGCTTTTTTAATTCTGTTGCTTTCACTTGTATCAATCACACCCACCCTCATAACTGTCCCATTCATATATGCTAAAAACAGTTATATTTCTTATTAGACACTGTATGTTCCACTAGTAAAAGAACATGGCTTAGTTTTTCCTCCCAAAATTCTTTATCTTGCTCAATGCTCCATAACTTTTTTTCTTATTTCATTTTAATCTTTCTTTTTTTTCTCATACCAACCAAAACAAACCAAAGACGGGAATAGAAAAGGGACAAAAAAGTTACCTTCATTGTTTGACTTAGCATTTCTCTACTGACTGTAAAGAAACTTTCTAATGATTCAATGTGTATTTGCACCATCCTCTGAATTTCCACTTAAACGTGATAGAACTTCAGCTTTTAAAATGTTCGGTTAATGTATACATTCAACTCTCCAGTTGTCAAGGTCATAGTTTGCTTACTTTTGATATTTCTAAGTTTTTCCTTTTGCAAATTGGAAGAGTCATCTCAATGATCAAGCACCAAATGAATCCATTTTTCAGTATTTGTTTTCCTTTTTATTGCATGTGTTGTACTTCTTTTCTAGTTTCAGATTAATGCTCAATTTAATATCCTTTATTTACTCATAATGTTTGAGAATTATTATTATTGCTAATAAATTACACTATTTTAAATGTTAGTAGCACCAATAATAAGATTGGTAAGGAATAGAACATATATAAAATAATGCTGGGAGAAAATGCTGTTACACTTTCTACATGTGATTAATTTAGTTAAATGTTATTGAAGTTCATCAAGATCTTTTTTATTTTACAGGATCAGTGTTTAAATTGAGTAAAAACATAAAGGATCTAAGACCTACTTCTGTCTGTAAAAGGGTGAGAATTTGCTTTGCTTTTTTCCCTCTATACAAAGATGTAAGACAGCTGTCTTGAACCATCAGCTCACGTGATGGTTGAAGTAAAGAATTCTGGTAAATTGTAAATTTTAAAATGAAACCCCTGGACACATAGCTAATGAACAAAGAAAAAATTTTTTAAAATCCTTCAAAAGATGAAAACTATTACATTCTATCAGCAAAGAAAGCCTGATTTTTTAGAGAAACCCTGCAATTCTAAACTATTCCTACATACATATACAATAAAGTAGATAAATGAATGTGTATTAAATTAATAAATATTCCTGAAAACATATGTGATAAAAAGAAAGTAGACAATAATCTCCTTGAAGTTCTAGGGAAAAAGCTACAATTTTTTGTGGGCTTGCTATTAGAAAAGCTCTTGTCATGAATCGTTTAGCCATCCAGTACAGTGTAAGATAGTAGAACATGGAACAGCAGGGACTGACCTTTTCCCTACTGTATTTGTAGATTTTTTTCAGTTGTAGTCATTATAGACACCCACACACACACAAATTTTCTAGATCTTGTAAGATGTCTTTAACATTAAAAAAAAATTTTATACAATTTTAAAGGTTATTTTCCACTTACAGTTATTACAAAATCTTGGCTATATTTCTCATCTTGTACAATATATCCTTGAGCCTGTCTTATACCCAATAATTTGTACATCCCACTCCCCCACCCCATATTGCCACTCCTCCCATCCTCACTGGTAACCACTAGTTTGTTCTCTATATCTGTGAGTCTGCTTCTTTTTTGTTCTATATAACATTTGTCTTTCTTTGACTTATTTCACTTAGCATAATGCCCTCCAAGTCCATCTATGTTGCTGCAAATAGCAAAATCGTGTTCTTGTTTATGGCTGAGTAGTATTCCACTGTATGTATATACCACCTCTTCTTTATCCATTCGTTTATTGATGGACACTTACGTTGCTTCCATATCTTGGCTATTGTAAATAATGCCACTATAAGCGTAGGGGTGCATGTATCTTTTTGAATTAGTGTTTTTGTTTGTTTTTTGGATGTGTACTCAGCAGTGGAATTGCTGGGTCATATGATAGTTCTATTTTTAGTTTTTTGAGAAACCTCCATACTGTTTTCCACAGTGGCTGCACTAATTTACATTCCCACCAACAGTGTACGAGAATTCCCTTTTCTCCACACCCTTGCCAACATTTGTTATTTGTGTTCTTTTTGATGATAGCCATTCTGTAAGGTGTGAAGTGATATCTCATTGTGGTTTTGATTTGCATTTCTCTGATGATTAGTGACATTGAGCATCTTTTCATGTGCCTATTGGCCATCTGCGTTTCCTCTTTGGAAAAATGTCTATTCGGTTCTGCCCATTTTTAATCAGGTTGTTTGTTTTGTTTTTTGATGTTGAGTTGTATGAGCTGTTTATATATGTTGGATGTTAACCCCTTATCAGTCATATCATTTGCAAATATTTTCTCCCATTCAGTAGGTTGTCTTTTCATTTTGTTGATTGTTTCCTTTGCTGTGCAAAAGTTTTTAGGTTTAATTAGGTCCCATTTGTTTATTGTAATATAAATCTTAAGAGACAAAATATATATCCCCCATATATTCACTTTCTTTTACATTACATTTGCTCTATAAAAGATAAACTTCAAGAAGCTGGAAAAGAACCTTTTAAGAGAGGTAAAAAATTGTAAAGTTACTCTTCTGTGAACCAATTTAGACCTACCATGGTAATTCATAACTTCTTTTAGAGATGAAGTCTCTATTCCCACACTCACCTGTATACAGAGTGGCAAGAACATTATAAAAATATGACAGAATGGAATATGCCAAAATCCTTAAAATGTCATGAAATCTATGACATTTGGGAAATTGGATAACCTCAATTCTAATAGCCAATATTACCAATTAAGAGTTTAAATAATAAAAAAACTAAGTGTGTTCTAATATATGAATGTTATGTTTATACCTACCA